CCGACCCTGCAGGATCTCCAGAGCAGCAGTGTTCCCATCATACCGCTTTGACTTCACCACCACATCCTCCACTGTAAAGGCCTGCCGCGGGTCAAAGTAGGTGGTCCGCTTGTTAATGTGGCTGAAAATGACAGAGGAAATAAAATGTTATAGTGGAGAGTTCATCCAAGATCTGTACAGTTTAGTATATCCTGTGAGGCCAAAACAAAAAGCTCATTTGTTTCCTCTATTAAGCAAACAGAGGTTCAATCATTAAACTACTTACTCGACATAAATCATCTGTCCTTTTTCATCTGTTTCTTGCTCCCAACCATACGGTAAATCTGTGGGAAAAGACAGACACATTTTCTTTAACAGCCAGAATCCATAAGAACAAAATGAATATCTTTGCCGCTGGTGACAGTTACATTACAACAACAAAGTTAGTGAAAAAAGACACAAATCCGATGTTTGTAAAGGTACGGTCAGAACACCATTAAATACAACCAATTTGAATATGTTCCCATATGCCTTGCGTATATGTCTGTCCCTCAAGCAGATATAAATGCGTGTAAAGACCCTGAAAAACAATTGACTACAACAAACCTCCAGCACAACGTTTTTTCTTTCCCGTCTTCGGGTGTTCCCACTGTGTCTTCATCGCATCATGGCTGTTACACAAAGACAAAATTACCCAACCTTCTTCTTCACTGCATGTCATTTATTTATCGATGTACTGAGGACACACATTGGCGTGGTGTAATGTGACATGTATGTGCCAGATTTAGCCAAAAAGGTTCATTTTCATCTGCAGCAAAAAAAAACACATTCAATTACATGTAGCACACGGCGTAAATGAAACAACCAAATACATCTGTTATAGAAAAGGCACACAATCATAACAGCAGATGAGAGAAAATATTACAAATGACTACAAAAGTGTGCAACTCAAGAAAACACCAAAGACACGTTCACACAACAAAACAAATAGAGCAGGTGGACAAAAAAACTTCCCAAACTAGGTAATGCAAACCAAATTTGGATATGTTTAATATGTCAATGATAGACATTGGTGTAAAGAGAACGATAAAATGCAAATACCATGTTGGCACTGAAATTCTCCAATAATCATTTTTATTATAATTTCTAAGTACAGAACCATTCTCTGTCTACTTCCTGTCACCACGAGCAGCCTAGAGCTCTGTCCCACCACTGATGAGGGTTTCAGGATTGTATATTCAAAGTGCAACTCAATCACGAAGTTATGCCTCTCACTTCACTACAGTACTTCATACTACTGCACAGTCTTCATAATAAACATCTTGCTAGCACAAATTGGTACAAAACCTTCCAAAACGTGCGCCCATGGACTCCACGCCATCGTTTCAGACATCAGAGCTTCTCTAAACTGGTGTACGGTGTTGGCTGCAGGCTGATAGCACCTACACGTGCCTTTGCTCGTGAACAAACCTGAAGCTGAACATATATTGGTGGTGGTGATGACATATACGATGAAGGATTCCACTCACTTGGCATAGTAGACCCAGCCATCTTTCGTAGACCTCTCTTCCCATCCGGGAGGTAACTCATCCTCACTATCTGTATCGTCCATGCCTGCGAATTTTAGAGCTGCCATAACTCACACTTGTATCTCGTAAACGACGGAGCTGCGAACACGAAACCTGTGAGGAATATCTGGAATAAAATAAATGTTCAACTGTGTCTGAGCTGAGAATTACCAACACAGCACTTCACCGGGGCACTTCCGCAACAACACGCGGTGACGCTGCCGAATGGCCTTTTGGGAAATTGAGGCTGAAGAAACGTGCGTCGTGTGAACTTCCTTTGCAATTTTAAAGGTTGAACCGTATTAGTTTCAACCAGAGAGGAAACAAATAAATGTAGAAGAGATGTAGCACTTCTTCAAAGCATAATTATATTCATTTTGATGTTCTAAATGTACAGGACAAGACCAAAGGCAGGCTGAACTGAGCACTAAACCCATCAGGACCATCAGGACACACTCAACATCCAGAAATAATGACCAAACACAAGCCACAGAGCAGGCCTTTACTGCCTCCAAATGGCACACATAAAAAAAAGTAATCAGAGTAGAAAAAAGGGGAAGATTAATAGCCTTCACCTTTTATATAAACATTTTATATAAACATTTTATATAAAACATTTTGTATAAACATTTTACATAAAACATTTTGTATAAACATTTTATATAAACATTTTATATAAAACATTTTGTGTAAACATTTTATATAAAACATTTTGTATAAACATTTTATATAAAACATTTTGTATAAACATTTTATATAAACATTTTATATAAAACATTTTATATAAACATTTTATATAAAACATTTTATATAAAACATTTTATATAAAACATTTTGTGTAAACATTTTATATAAAACATTTTGTATAAACATTTTATATAAACATTTTGTATAAACATTTTATATAAACATTTTATATAAAACATTTTGTATAAACATTTTATATAAACATTTTATATAAAACATTTTGTGTAAACATTTTGTGTAAACATTTGTATTTTATATCTTTAGATTTTATGTTTGTGAGAAAAGTGTTTGTCTCTTTATGTCTTCAAAAATCAGCTTTCCTTAAATTACTCCTTGAGGGAAGAGTAAAGATTTGCATTGATTTGAACTGAATTAATTTCATGAGTATTATCATTCGTATTGTTCAGCCTGATAAACCACTGACTGATATTGCACCTGCTGTTGTAAGACATAACCAAAGAAATCGATAGCCATGACCAAAGTCTGAAATTAAGTTTCTTCTTCACCTGCCACTGAACAATTATATTTGATGTAAGCCTAAACTTTGACTATTCCAATTTATGAATTGCTTTTTAAAAAATATTAGTTTTGAAATTAAGGGAAAACTACCTGCCATGGTGGCAGGTGACCAGGAATTCGTACCTGCCACAGCCAACATTTACCCTGTATTTGCAGGTGCACGCAGGTGCTAATTTCTTTCCCTGGTCATGATAACAGACATATCCCATTGAAATCTGATGCCTTTATGGAGTTTAGTCTGTCAGGCAAAACGTTGCAGCAGTGAGGGCCACCTAAGCATATACAAAGAAGCTTTATCCAGCCTCTGCTTTGTAGCTTGCCACTTTCCCCCTAACAAATTATAAAGAGTGGCAGCATTGTTCCATATCCAGAGTGAAGCTGCTCTGCACACTTGGCTACTTTCTTCCCGAATTCCACTTGTGCAACTCCTGTTTGTTGGAGTAGTGATTAAACTATACTGCTTTAAGTAAGCAGTTTCTGTTATCGCTGCGGAGGACAGGGAGAGTGGTCTATATTCTGGCTGGATAATGACTTCCAGAGAAACCTGAAATATGTGACACTTGCATGCTTTATTCACTGACTTTGAAGAATCTGCTGACACCTGGTCAACCAGGCACGTGGTTCAGTATAATTGTCTGCAAAGATGCTTACTTTCTTCTTTCATATTGCAAGCACAGTCTGACAGTTCCTCCAGTTCTAGGTTTCCTTCTCAGAGAACGACCAATGAGCTTCCCTTGGCTACTATACCTAACTCCCCAAAAATGTGGAGCAGAGGTCAAGTTGCTGACTAACTAAAGCATGAGGATCTTGCTGTTATCTAGATGACTTCATCATGATGGCACAGTCACAAGAATGTATGATATTTCAGGTTGTGCAACTGATGCATAGCTTAAGACAATTATACTGGCTGGAAATACACTCCTTGATCTGGCAAAACAGTACTGCACCCCCAATTACTGTTCACCATGACTGTTGACGTAGAAACAAACGAGGGACTGACGAGCCACGTCTTCAGAACAGTGCTGCCCAACAAATTCCTGTCACTCAGGCTCCTGTCGTGTTATGCTCTCAAGGTGTGTTTGTCAGGGATCCTCCTCCCATGACTCTGGGTCTAAAACATAGAAAATGTTGTTTGAGGACATAATCTTGACTCATGGTCCACTTTCTTTTTTCCTGCAGCTTTCAGCTGCATCACAGTCTTCATCGACTGATAGAGTTTGTTCAGTTTTCCTGTCAAAATACTATTTCCAAGGTCACAAATTAACTCTCACGCTCAATGTTATGAAAGACAAAAGATGCATATTTCTCAAAGCGATCAGGTGTTCAATGTGTTCAAAGTACTAAGTATTGTACTTACTCAGTATGAATTTTACAATACTTCTACTCCATCCCATCTGATTTCAATGGGTCATGTTGTATGTTTTACGCCAATACATGTATCTGACAGCAACAATTACTAGTTATTACATTAAGATTTGACATAAAAATCAAAAGCTTATAACATGTTATAGATCGATTATAGATCGAACTATCCAACAGTCTAGACATAATTAAAATAAGCTCCACCTCCAGAGGCTATAACATTAAAATCAGTATGAATCAAATATTATACAGTAAAATAGACAGAGGCCATTCTGTTGCATAATCGGTACTTTTACTTTGCTATACTTATAGTTTTGCTGTATTTTTACCTCAGTAAGATATTGAATGCATCATCTTCTATTCCTAAACTGTGTGATTGCTGCTTTTGCTTATGTAAAAGATGTGAATTGTTCCATCACTGGCCAATACGCTATAAATACCTACAGTATTTGGCTTCAGACAGAAGAACTTCATAAACCCTCATTGGGAAAAAACTTAGTTTCGGGCAAATTCAAGAAATGTACGTTTCACTTTTCATAAAGACCTTAAACTTTCTATGCGAAGATATAGATAGAGGATGTGACAGAAAGCCTAGAAACAACTGCACTTATCTAAACATTGACGATTTAGGGAACCTGATGGTGTGTTGTCATCATTTAGAACTGATTCAACTGGACACAATAGTTTCATCAACAGATTTGCTTTACGTTAATGTGATTGAAATGGGCTTCATCGAGAGGAATAAAGCCATCCAACGTAATGACATTACTTCCCTCTGTGACGGTTCACTGTATCCTCAGCCACAGCGCATGCCCCTGGCAGCAGAAAGGGGAGGGGCTAGGAGGTGGGCCGACCAACTGTAGGCAAGTGTGTGTGTTCGTCTCAACGTTGCACGAAATGTGTCTCCTCTCAGCAAAGACAGAGTAACGGGAGACGTGCTGATCAACGGTTTTTCTTTCTATTGAAAGTTTAGTTTTTTTGTCGCCTTGACACTGTGTCGATGTTATCCTCTGTATATTAAAACATTCCGCTTGTAAAACGCAATATTTATTAAGAGCTGCCGACTTCGTTTCTACCAAAGAGTGTCCGCTTCCCCTCCCCTCGATGAAGCGCTGCGATGCCCTCTGATTTTATATCCCTCCTTAGCTCGGATCTCGACCTCAATTCCCCCAAATCTCTATACTCAAAAGGTAAGATTTTTACTTAAATACACGTTATCACTGGGACACCGACCCGGTTGTCCTAGTTAGTTCACCTCGAAGCATTACGAATGTCTTGATCGCTCCCGTTAAGCTGCTAGCTAGCAGTAGTTAGCTTCTTTTCTGCTGTTAGCCGACCAAGCTAGCACTTAGTTAGCTGCATTTGGGCTGAGAACTGGCGTGTACCTGGTTGGCTAGTTGTCGGTGTCACATTGCGTGGAGGACCATGATACGTTAGGCTGCTCGTCTAAATATAACGGTGATGCGAGAGATCCTATCGATACGATACGATGAGTCATTAACTAGCGGTCTCGTCTGATGGCGAGCATTAGTACTATCCGCTAGCCACAGTTACGTGAGGTCGCTTTCCAGTCACCACATTGTTAATTGGTTTAATGTACTAAAAGTCATAGTGGGCTTCTGCGGAGGTGTGTGTGTGTGTCCATGCGTGTATCGCGAGAATATGTAGTACATGCATGTGGTTTATGCGTATCCTCCTTGTTTAGCGTCGTTGTGTAACAGTCCCTTGTGGTTTAACATCATGTGTGGAACTGAGCCAGAGTTGTCTCTCTCATACTCTCTGGTTTCACGGACGGAATGAAAGCTCCGGACATGCCAGTGTCCCTGGCAGGATAGAGGGTGCTGCCACTGGTGCCACACATTTAATCTATAATACGTTCTGGACACATGTCAGCCAACTCTTGTTTTATTTTTAGGAGGGTGTTGCGACATCAATTAGGAGCTAGGCCGTTAACTCTGAGTTGTCAGCTGGGCCGGTGGATTTGTACTGGCTTTCAGCAGCACATTGTCTGCAGGTTGGTTTCCCCCTCTGTTGCCAAGCGTATCAACTTCATGTGTAAGGACACTGTCTGTGAATCTGCCACTCAACGCTGGCATCCATCACGCTATTGCTTATTCATGAGCCAGCCTTGTATGCTGTGTTGTTGTTTTTTACTATTCTTAAAGTGGTAACCTGAGACTCTCAGATTTATACATTATGATAGGACACTGATGGACAACAGGGTTTCCTGTTATTTGACCACATGTCTTAGATGTTGTCCACATTTTGATGGTTAACAAATATCATTTATACCGAAATGCTGTTCTCACATCTGTCTAGCTGCTTATGTATAGGGCGCTCATGAGCTAGCAGAAAGCACTGCTATGTGACCCTGACATGCTCAGTTGAGCCTACCATATGGTCACACTGTCTCACATGATGGCTGTGTATTTATATCTCAGCAGTCGGGTGTGTGCTTGTGTAGTGGTCAAGGTAGCAGACATGCTCATATATATGAGAGAGAGAGAGAGAGAGAGAGAGAGAGAGGGAGAGAGAGAGAGAGAGACCCGAACCGAACCTTGATCTCTTTAGATTAAAAATAATATAGTAATTAGTCACATGTCTGACCTTTTATTTTACCCTCTCATTTGCCAACTCTGGGAACCACATCCAGGATTTGTGTAGTCTTGCATCTATATGACGGACACAAATTACATTGATTTAGTGTTTACTATGTGTCAGTGGAAATGACATAGGGGCTCTCAAACAATATACATTTAAAAAAGAATCGCAGTCCACTTCATTAGTTACAAAAATGCCACCCATAACATATTTTATACTTAATTTATGTTATGTTCTGTTGTTGTTTAATTGTGCCTGAACTGAATGTATTCATTTCAGTGCGTTCATCCATTAGGCTCCATTTGCTGTCAGTCACCTGAGACCTATGAGAAGAAATGAAAGTGCCCCCTGGAAATAATCCTTTCAAAGCAACACTGCCTCATAACTTTTATCGACACATCCATGTCTATTTATTTAACGTAAGCCAGCACAGTGGTTCCCTCGGGCTAGGTTGACTACCACAAAGCTTGTGTATTTAGAAAGATCAACATACATGTGATGTGACATGCATTTACTGTAGCTTTTATACAAATGTAAACTAGATGTTCATAGTAGTAATTGGGTTATGTCTTAAGCTGGAACCACTGATCTGGTTTATCGGCTCTACATAAGCAGGTGCATGGAGAACCGAATGGAGTATCTATAGCCATTCATTGTCAATATAACTCAGTGTCAAGGTAAACAGAGATGGTGTAAATATAGAAAAATGGCATTCTTTGTGTGCAGGGAGTAGCTCGCTGTCTGCACTCTGGCTTGAGCGTGTCGTTATGAGTTCAAGAGTGGAATTAAAGGAGCCATTTTTGGGCTCTGAGACACATTCTTTGATGACTGCATATTTTTTTCCATTTGCAACAAAAACAGAGCCATCATGTATTGTCTATTCATCTGTCATCCCCCCCCCCCTTGGCCCCAAAACAGCTGCAAAGAATAAAAATGGACTGGTGACCTTGCCATTTGGCAAAACCTTTAACGCATGTGTAATGTGAGCGGTGCATAACTTTGAGATGATGTAGTTTAATTGTTCTAAGTGTTTGTTTAAATCAGTCCGCCCCCTGGCAGGCGACTGTGTTGCAGTCTACTTTTTTGGGCATACTCGGTCGAGCCTTTAGAGCGCTGCACATAAACTGTACAGATGTCATCTGACTGCTATAAAAGCAAATGGAGACCAACACTAATGTCCCTGAACAGATCAGTGTCACGTATTTAATTGGGAACAGTGAGAAGTTAAGCTTTATATTTATATTCAACTGAGATTTACGAGTAAGGCGAGCGTTATATTTTCTCTTGATAATTAACAATGCAAGAATGTGTGGCTGCCCAGGGTAAGCACCTCGTTCTGTCCACAAAGTAAGAGAAGGTAGATGAAGGGACTTTGATGGTGTTAAATGTTTTCATGTAGATGGATAGAGCTTTTCATTAAAGCACTTTTTGAGTCAAAATGTAATCTGACACATTGTCTACAAACACTGTTTTGCCTACTGATCCCTCCCCGACCAGTCAGGCACATGAGTGAGTTGAAAACACTGAATGAAATCCAGACTGCTCATTTACATTTGGGGTAAATCATGTATGCAGAAAGAAGGAAAGAAGTTCTCTTTATTATATAATATAATTCAGTTTTTTAATAACTCACTGCTGCAGATGTGGTGTGAGTCTGTGAATGGTGACGACATGCATTTCTCGGCGAGTGCTCTTCGTTGCATATGAATGGGCTCCAGGCAGGTTGAACATGCACTCAGTGCTCGACCCACAGCATGCACACCTCTCCTGTGTGAAACGGTCAAGACTGAGGTCATGTCGGGTTGCCAGTCAATCTGTAATGCATTCATGCACAAAGACTCTCTCTCTCTCTCTCTCTCTCTCTCTCTCTCTCTCTCTCTCTCTCCTCAACATGAACAAAGCACAACAGACACAGATGGAGGATTCTCGTGAGAATCGGTTCACTTTGCTATGTGTATAAATACACTGTCGTGGTTTAGAGGGACAGTTCACTCTAACAACGTGGTTAATGACAATAGTCTATAGGTGTCATTGTGAAGTGTCTTCACAGCAAGGTCTGTGAGTTAGGCTATCACAGCTCTTTCTATATTTGGAAAGAAACATTGCTGATGAGTTTTTTTTTTTTAAATGTAATTTGTTGGCACTTGGAGCACCGAAAAAAGCGAACGCCGTTCAGCTCTATATAAAACCCATTAGCTATGGATGACGAATGGAGCTGGCCTCCATCTCGGTGCTTTACGTTTGGCCCGTCTGTGTGAACTACAGCACTGTGTGGCTCTTTGTTGTAAGCTGTGGGGATTTTGTGTTGTCACTCCCTCAACGGCATCGTCACGGAAGTGCCAGATCATGTGTCTTGTCAGTGCTAAGTCATAGCTGAGTATCAGATGACTACTACACATGCTCGGTGCTGCCGATGCACAGCTGAAATATCCATGTCAGGGTGTTGATGGGTCCCTGTTTCTAAGCAACCAAACTACCCAATCGTGTGTTTATCTGCCATCGAGTGCAGCTCATTCCAGTGTAGCTGCAGTGGTTTGGTAATACACTACGAGGAGTCGTATTACCATCAAATATCAAGGAATGTCTCTGTGGGTCGTGCTACACTTAGCTCATGGGAGGCTAATTTAGTTCATCATAAGATAGCCTGTGTTGTGTTGGTGTTGACAGCTGAGTGTTTTTTTTGTGTATGTAGGAAAAAGTGATGGTGAGACGCGGGTTTGCTTTCCATCCCATTTAAGGATTGCTTACTCTGTTGGGTCCTTCTGAATTGAGTTCAGCACAGTCTGAACATTTTTGGAGCCCGTGTCTGGCTGTCATTATTGGTACTGCATCTTGAGGCAATTCTGCACCGGGTTCAGTTTTTGGCCAATCATAAGTACATAATTATGTACGCTTGCTGATAGCAGAAGCAGATACCTCTCTGTCCTTAGATGGGGAATCAGGCTTAGAACAGAACTTCTGAAGTCAGAGAAAAGTTCTCCTCGGGAAGAGTGGATCATCTTTTCTAGCTGTTTAGTCCTGTCATAAAGAATAACCTAATTTGTCTTCTCCCGCTCATCCTTTATGACAGAGTCGGTATATGACCTCCTCCCCAAAGAGCTCCAGCTGCAGCCGTCGTCCACCCAGACGGACCCGCCCACCATGAGCCAGAAGAGTGGGGGAGAGGCGGGACCTCTTCCCTCTGCAGCTTTGGCTTCAGGTAAGCTACCCGCTCAGTTCATGAGAACCACGATCCGAGATCAGTTTCCCCTTGCCAAACTATTCCCGGAGATAGCAGCGGTGAAGAAACTCATATGGGCTTGTATCAGTGTCTGGGGGCAACTTCACCCTTTCACCAGTTCCTGAGACAACATTTGTGACTGTTGGAGATTATAAAAAGCTAATTTTTTATATATATATATATATATATATATATATATATATATACAGCTGGACTTGAGCTGTATATGAATATATTTTTGAGCTTCTCAAGCTGTATTAAAGGAACCACCAATTAGTGGAAATCTGTTGTCATTGTTTTGGTTAGTGCAGTCTGTTGGCTTGTTCAACACGTCTGCATTAGGGGACCAGCATCATGGGAAGAGGCATCGCTTACCTTGAGTCTGTATGTTGGGGCTTTGATATTCACTCAAAACTGCAACTGCAATACATGCCTGCAGCTCTTTAGCAGTTCACTTTATAAATGTAAAAATAGCTTAATGTAGTTTTAGTCCAGCTCCTAAACTCTGTTATCTTACTAACCTGTACCTTGCTAGTGGCAGTGACTGTAACGTAAGAATCGTAATGGCTTCTATGTAATACAAGTCGCACACTGTCTTCTCCTGGAAAACGTAGCTCAGAGTAACGGTGACTGTGCATTAACGGCATGCTAACACAGCTTGTTCTTTCTCATTTCACTCATTGTTTTCAGCAGCACTGTTTCCAATGTGATGCTTGTGCTAAATGCTTTCATTTCATTCTGCTTTTTAGGCAGTTCAAAAAAAAACTTATATTCAGGTGCATGCAATACAACCAATACTGCTGATCCATATATGTTCCTTTGGCTGAGGCAGTCATCCCAGACATCCCTCATGTTATGACATTATATCTATATATTATAACTATATCTATCCCTCTGATGGTCTAGTTTTTTTAATATGCTTTTGTTGTTAAATATTTCAACGCGTGGCAAAAGAAGAAACAGCCTGTGCACAGTCTCTCTCTATGCACATTGTCATTCACACATACTCGTTTACACACTCATACATCCGTAGGTCATCGGATCATTTATTGAGGTCTCAAACTTTTGCAGCTCAATGATTCATCTACTCCCGTGTTACAGATCGGTCGGTACTGTCGGGAGTTATGAAGGTTCTGTCTCTTTTATGAAACCGTGAAGTTGCCCCTAGCAAGCATTGGACCGTCCTTAAATATCCTTCAGCGAACCAAAGGAACACGGTCTGATCTTGGATCATGGTTCAGGGCAGCCAACATCAGCTAAACTCTGAAGGATTCTAGTCTTGAGTTTTGTCTGGAGAGCAAATGGAACCGGTCAGCAGTGTTGGAGAGAGCGCTTTCTGTTAATGCTACCTTTTAACTATCCTGTCTGACCCAGCTGGCCCTAAGCAGTGCTGATCAAAAGCATGACTACTGTAATGTCCGTCATTATTTACCACACATGCTTCAAGATGTCTATAAATGATCAACTTCAGAAGTTACTCCTTCTTCAGTATATACACTCATCCGATTTACTGATTGACAGAAGTTGAATCTTGAATGATCAGCTCTCTTGTTGCTCATTGGCTGTCTCGTTTTTATTGCAGGAAGTTCCCTCTGAGGCAGGGAGTGTCTGCATATAAAATGGTCTGCAGTTCACTGCTCCATAGGTCAGAGGCTTGTTTATTCTGTCTCCATGGCTACGCTCAGTCCCAACCAAATCTTCCAATTGGCATGCGCAAACTACTGTTTACTACTGAATGCACATTGCACAAACTGTACTATAACCCTGGCAAATTTAATTTGGTGCCACATTACCAGCTTGCAAATTTGGCTGTACAAAGAAAGTTTGAAGCAGATTTTGTTGTGTTTCTTTCTGGCAATGTGTATGTAACGATTTGTAGCTTGCTTTTGTTTTTGTAAACAAAGCATGTCAGTTTTGTCACCTTGATTTTAATTGAGAAAAAGTTTCGTAGGAATCAAAACATTGTGGGACCTATAGTACCCTTCTCAACTTTAACTTCAGAACATTTGATCAATTCTTGACGGCTCTCGCATGCACAGTGAGAGCGTATATATATATATATATATAACCCACAACAGTCTGTTGAAATTAGAGTTGGGAAGAGGGGAAATCAATACAAATGATGCACAAATTCAGCTGCTTGAATGGGACTGCTAGCCTGCACTGTGCTGAGCGTCTGTACTAACTTATTTATCTGTATATGCTACTACAGATGCCACCTCCAGCCCCTCTGCCTCTTCGTCCTTGGCCATGGGAGTCTCATCCACTGGCTCCTCTACCTCGTCCTCAGACCATCCCAAGGGTCCCCAGCATTTCCACTCCACCGGAGGGGATGGAGCTGGAGCTTCGGAGATTCAAGTTATGGAGGGTGCTGTATCTGCCCCCAGCAGAGGCAACGGTGGAGCAAACACTGCAACAGGAGACATAGGGTCAGGAGTGTTGTCGGGGCTAGGAGCCCAGCAGCCTCAGAACACCCCATCAAAACGGAGGCCCGTGTTGAGCATATCCCCGCCACCCGAGGACCTATTTGACGACAGCCAGATGTCTAGCCAGGACGAGCCTGCCGTATCTGGTCCAACGGGTCCAGACTCCGAGCACAGCAGCAGCATGTGGGCTGATGACTCCGTCTCCAACTTCAGCTTGATCAGCTCCGTCTCCTACAACGACAACACGGAGGTGCCGCGCAAGTCTCGGAAACGCACCCCCCGCCAACGGCCCGGGCCCAAGCCTGCTCCTCCAGAGGACAGCATGGATGTGTTTGATGCTGACAGCGCCAAGGCCCCTCACTTTGTCCTATCCCAGCTGGGCACAGACAAGAACAGTCCCATAGCCAGGTGGGGCGACCCTTATCCAACGCAGCATCTCAATCCATCTGTAGGAATACAGTAAATGTCCTTTAAGTTCTAGAAGTCATATTAATGTTGTCACGTATTCTTATTTTTTTTGCCCCGCAGCTCTCTTGAGTCAGGACCTGCAGTGAAGGGTGGGTCACTGTCTACTCAGTACCCCCAGAGGAGTGATGGGAAAGAGCTAAAGATTCTGGTGCAGCCAGAGACCCAGCACAGAGCTCGCTACTTGACAGAGGGCAGCAGAGGTTCTGTCAAAGACCGCACACAGCAGGGATTCCCCACTGTCAAGGTTTGACACAGAAGGCCACCTGCTGCTTCTTGAACACGGGGGGGGGGGGGGAATATTACCACCGAAGTGTCTGAATACGGGAAAAAATACACGGGGTGTGGAGTACTGTGCTCCACAAGAGAACGCTCATGCCAGTGGAGACACATCAGAAGCATTCACCCACTAAACACCCATCTGCACATGTTAGCCACTTCAAAAGCTGTATTTTACAGGATAGCCTGCGGTTTTCTGTGTGGTTCAAAGTTTTTTGACAAATCAAAAAGACGGACCCAATGTTCATAGGGCAAAGAATTGAAAGAACTTTACCTTTTACTGATAAGTCTGCACAGGGAAGTGAAGGAAGAGCACTTCTGTTAAACAGCTCCCAGCTGCTTCTGTGTGTGAAGTACGAATATTCATCTTTTGTGATATAATAGAACATTTCTTCCACTGTTGTGTGCATTTCCCTTGTTTACTTTTGTGAGATCCAAGGAGAAAGAAGATCTGACTCTCTTGGGTTTGAAACCACTTCATTCTTTAATGGCCGTATGCTTTCTATTATTAGTCAGGGTCAATTCAAGTTATTAACACACAATTCCTTTTTTTTTTTTTCTGTCCCCAGTTGGAAGGTGTGAGTGAGCCAGTTGTGCTGCAGGTGTTTGTTGCAAATGATGCAGGCAGAGTGAAGCCTCACGGTTTCTACCAGGCGTGCAGAGTGACGGGACGCAACACCACTGCCTGCAAGGAGGTGGACATAGAGGGCACCACTGTCATTGAGATTCCTCTAGAGCCCAGCAGTGACATGACACTCGCGTAAGGGCTTATTTTTTTGAGGATAATCGCTGCCGGTTTATACTTGCACCGTGTGGATGTTTAAGACGTTCTCAGTGTGTCATGTTTTCCTCATCCGTGGCTGTTTCTACAGGGTGGACCGTGTAGGAATTTTGAAGCTGCGTAATGCAGATGTGGAGGCCCGTATTGGTGTGGCAGGGTCCAAGAAGAAGAGCACACGGGCCAGGCTGGCCTTCAGAGTCAACATCTCCCAACCTGATGGATCAGTACTTACTCTACAGGTCGCCTCATCGCCCATCCTCTGCAGTGAGTAGTTGTAAACATCCGTCTTAAGCTACAAACACAGCCACTGCCAGGCTTCATGAGGCTTGGGGAGGCTGCGTTTCCACTGATCTGTTGTCACGCATCGCATTAAGGAGGATGGCCGTAGAGCATTGGTCTTATCAGACTGTAGAACCTCCTTTCTTTCTGTTTCAGTCTTCCACATGTCTTCTGGTAAAACACTAGCCCAGATGTCATGCGAGTGTTGATTCATTGACTGTTGTGTCCTTCTCCAGCCCAGCCAGCAGGAGTTCCAGAGATCCTGAAGAAGAGTCTTCACGGCGGCTCAGTGAGAGGAGGAGAGGAAGTTTTTATCATCGGAAAGAACTTCCTCAAAGGAACCAAAGTTATTTTTCAGGAGAATATTGCAGGTGCTGTAGCCCGCTTGGTGTCGTCAGTGTTAACTTTGTGTCAGTGGGATTTGTGTGGATATGGTTTTTCTGCATGTAAACCTCTGATGACAGAAGAAAAAAAATAATTTGTTTTATTTGCAGATGATAATTCCTGGCAGGCTGAGGCAAAGATTGACATGGACCTTTTCCATCAGGTAAATGCAGCTGAATAACTATAAGCTGCAGTCTCAAACCTGCCTGCTTTCACTCACCATGCTATCCGTGGGACTTTACTGAATTTGGACTTTTGGATCTCTGTTTTCCAGAACCATTTGATAGTGACAGTGCCGCCATTCCACAACCAGTCAGTCTCTTCTCCTGTTTCTGTGGGAATCTTCGTAATGACCAATGCTGGTAGATCACATGATCCCCAGCCCTTCACCTATACTCCAGACTCAGGTACAGCCTCCAGCGGAAGTGTGTGCTACTCCCATTCTTAAGATACTGTTACCATATTATTATGTGAGGGAAAATGCTACTTGCATTGGTTGTATAAATCAGTTCCAGTTCCAGCAGATGCGTTTGCAGGAAAGGTGTCGGTATTGCTGAAATGCCAGAAATCTTCATTGACTTTTCAGAGACGCTTAAATCACAAGACATCATTGTACGGGCTTGGTCTCCTCACAGACTTACAGCTATCCTGTGTTTACTCTCTCACACACAGCTGACGACTCAAATGTCCGGACAGTAAAAACAGAGGGGCCCTGCCTGGTCAAGACGTGTATATTTGATGGCCAGATCAAATCTTTATCATCTGAGCAAACTGACAGCTCTGCTCCGCCTTCCAAACGGCAAGAGGACACACCGATGGAAGTGTCTAGTAATCCACCATGCACGGATGACTTTAAGGTAAGATACCATTCATTCTCAAAAGAAGTGGAATTAAAACGTCTTCTTCAGAAATGCAGTTTGTAACATCTTTGTTTCCTCCCTTAGCCATCCCCTGACCCTCTTGTCACGGTGCAGCAGACACTGGAGCTCAGCTCTGGTCCTCATCCCGGTGGAGAGTCCTTTCAGAGCCCAATGCCCCTCCAACCTGAAGACGTGGAGCTTGCCCAGGCGCCCCCTGTCTTCCCCAGCCTAGAGTCTCTCAGCACCATACAAAAGCAGGACATTGCCCCCACGGCCTCCTTTCCAGTGCCGGGCGATACTACAATCCCCCCCGTGACAGCAGAAGTCCCCCAGCAGTTCCTCCGAGACCCTCAGGACAGCATAGCTCCTGAGAGTTCCAATAATAGTGGAGGGGTGGTAGTAGTGGCCATGCCCCAGATAGCGACTCCCTCTCAGCCCCAACAGTCACAGGTTCCCCTGTTCCCCCAGGAAGAGGTGGCCCAGCTGGAGAGGGCAGTGAGGGAGCTCCAGGCTGGAGGCAACACCACGCTCCAGCAGGTGTTTGAGGCGGCTGTAGCCCAGCAGCAGCTCAACTCTGTGCTGTACAGCCCCACCCCCTCTGCAGACTCCCTTCAACAGCATGTCCAGGAGAACATGAACAGCCTTAGATTGGGAACCACAGATAATTCACTATCAACACAGCGACAGCTACAGATACAACAACAACAACAACAACATCAGATACAGCAACAGCAGATACAACAGCATCAACAGCAACAACAACAGATACAACAGCATCAACAACAGCATCAGCAACAGCAGATACAACAGCAACAGCAGATACAACAACAACAACAGCAACAGCAGATGCAACAGCAACAGCAGATGCAACAGCAACAACAGATGCAACAGCAGCAGCAGATACAACAACAACAACAGCAGATACAACAACAGTTTCAACAGCATCAACAACTGCAGCAACAACATCAAATCCTTGGTAACCTTCAGCAGCAACACATACAGCAGCAGCAGCAAGTTCTTGGCAACATGCAGATCCAACAGCAACTTATATTACAGCCACAAGACCAGCAGCAGCAGCAGCAAATCATAGAGAATATTCAACAGCAACAGTTGCAACAAAGTCAGACACAACAAGTCCTTAGCAACATCCAACTTCCGGATCAGCAACAGCAAAATCAAATACTTAACAATTTACAACAACATCAGCTACAACAGCAGCAGCAAAATCAAGCATTGAGCAATTTGCAACAACTACAAGAGCAGCAGGTGTTGGAGAATTTACAGCAGCACCTTCAGGCTGAGTTGCTTCAACCCCAGATCCACTCGTCCCCCCAAGTACAGCAGCCAGTGTCCCTCCTTCAGCAGGCTGGAGAGCTGCTCACCATTCAGACCAGCTTCCCAACACAGCCCCCATCCCACACATCTCCCCCACAGCAGCTGTTTCAGTCGCCCAGGCCCCTGGCTGAGACCCAGGGCTCCCAACAGCAGGTCCAGGCTGCCCTGCTCCAGAATACGCTGACTGTTCTGACTAGTGGCAGTCTGAACTCCGAGCAGCAGCCTCCAGGGTCAACCCTGTACCTGTCCCCAAACCCTCAGCCCCAACAGCAGCAACAGCAGCTGGCATTCATCTCCTCAATGGAGACTTCTAACGGTCAGCCCCAGTCTGTTGCAATGTTTCAGAACCAACCCCAAACTCAGCTTTCCCAAATGCAGCAGCAGAGCACCCCCATGGAGCAGCAGCAGTCTCCGCAGCAGAACCAACAGCAGCCACCGCAGCTGCCAATGGGCCAGCAGAGCTCCTTGTTCCAAAGTATCCCAAACCACTCCCAGGTTAACTCTGTCCCCCAGAGCCAGCTTTCCCAACCCCAACAGACGGGCCTCCTCCTGTGCACCACCGATCTTAACCCCCAGGCTATTCCCCCAACTATTCTCTTCAGCACCCAGACCCAAGGCCCTTCACCTATGGGGAGCATTGGCGTTGGAATCCAACAGCCAGACCCGGCAGAGCCCATGTCCTTCCAAGACCAGAGCTCGTCAGGCAGCAGCTCCACATCCACCGAGAACCAACAGCAGAGCCTGTTCCAGGAACAGCAGCCGATGCAAGTGGGCCCAAGTTCCATCAGCGTCCAGAGCTCTCAACCTGTGGAGCTGTTCTTGCCACAGACCTCTCTGTCCAGCCTGCAGAGCACTATTGGCTCACAGGAGCTGAACAACCAGGCTCCAGCCCCTGGCACAACCATCTTTGTGGTACAGGGGGGTGTGGGTGTGGTACCCAACCCTGGCCAGCAGCCCCCGGAGCAGCTTTTCCAGACAACTGTGGGTGGGAATGTGGCCCCACAAGGGCAGGCCAATCTGTTTGTGTTTGGCATCCAGAATGGTAAGATGATTTTGGTCTTCTCCACCTTCTGAAGTACAGAGAATAAGAGTTTTTTTCGGCAATGCCTTTACCTGCTGTTTGATAATAGTGAATATTTTCATTTTCTCTTCCTCCCAGACTCCCCCCAGCTGCTCAGTTCCTCTGGACCCGCCCTGCCAGTTCAGGGCCAGCCCCAGAACTCCAGCCACATGCAGCCTCTGTTGGACCAGCCCATGGCCCAAGCTGCCTCCACAATGCCAGCCACCATGCACAGCAGCTTACAGAACACCCTTCAGGCACAGATGCACTCCAGCTTAGAGAACGCCTTGCAGACCAGCCTACAAAATGCAATGCAGGCAAACACACAGACGGCTCTGCAGTCCAGTTTACAGGCAACCATAGAAACAAGCCTGCCAACTCCAATGCAGACCAATCTACAGACGCAGATGCAGAACAGCTTACAGAATCAATTGCAGGCATCGATATCTGCGTCGTCCAACATGGATAAAATTTAGGACCTACTGGGAGAGTCTACAGAAGCGATGATTAATGATTGGACCATGTGGGCACAAAGGAGAGTGAGTGATACGTAGCCGAGAGTTTAATGTCCGTATGTCGACAAATAGAACGGTGGCGTGCGGTGTTTTGTGTCAACGCCACAAACCTTAGAAACTTTTAAATATGTAAGATTTAAATGCCCCTTTTACCCCAAAAACCCAAATTATGAGCTCATGTAACTCCCTGTTTTTATGGAATATTTATAATTAATTATATCCTTCATACACCCATTGTCCTTGAATTGAAGAATCCGCCTTTGTTATTACCCCTCTTGCGGGATCAGAGAGGCCTGTAATAACTGCTTTATCCATCAGTCTCAGAAATACAGTGTTTTATTGTGAGTGTTTTAATAATGTGAACCGAAGAGATGATGATGATGATTTTAAAAAAACAACAACCTGCCAGGTTTGGTGGAAAAACTGGAAAGGGACAAAGAATGTCAGCGACAAGGAAATGGGAGAAGTAATGTGATGGAGCTGAGTGTGTAAGAGCAGGCAGAGTAGATGAAACGGCCAGGAGTGAATATCAGGTTGCACGTAAGTGTCGGATAAAGGCGGAATCTTATTGAGTGTGTGTGAACTCCACGCCTTCACTTCACTCTGAGAGGTGGTCTTGTGTGATGTGTTTCTGTTTTGTTCATAATTACCCGGCATAGAAGCAGGGATTGAATAATGTCCCCACTCACTTTTAACTTTTGACGCGGATATGCATTCGTCAACAATTTTGACTGAAATCTACTCTAAGAGTAATGACTATTAAATGAAGTACATTTGTAGAATGTTTTGCCTCAATCATGTACGAGTGTGAAGCTGTGCAGACTCTACCGGGAGCGTTCAAATAATGATCAACTCCAAAAACAAAAAAGAAGGCATCGCACACCAAAATGAGTATTGGGTTTCCCCCAATGTGCAGAAAGAGGAGGGACTATTAAACACTCTCAGATGAGATTCCCCCTCGTGTGCATAATGTGACTTGCCTGTTGATTTGGCCCCTCCCAGTGGTTTCATAGGTTTAAGGCCTCATTACTGGGATTGTAGAAGCTTTCTTGGTGAAATTTCAAGAAGCGCTCAACGATATAATGTGTGTATCTTTTTTTGTTTTGAAGAAGTTGGTAACCCTCTACCACGTTAATGTGGATAGAAAGAAGCTTTTTCCACTAGTGAAAATGGAGTGTTGTGTGGTTTTTATAAACATTTTATCTCAAGCACTTTATAACCTCTAGCTAATCCTTATATCTGTCCACAGCTCCCTTCTGACTCCAGCTGAGTTTGTACTTGGAAAACGTCCAGTTAAAAACCCGAAATAACACACAGCAGTTACCTTTTGTAAAAGGTAAATACATCTTTGCCGAGCATTTTAACATTTTGTCATGTCTGAATACTTCTTGAGGTTGAGGACAGCTTTGTATAGAATGTCTACTCACTGTTGAATTCCTCTTTGTATTCAGTCTCAGTGGTCCAGTCAAGTCTGTCTAAACAAACAGCCATTCCCACAAAAGCATTGTCATTTGTCAGTGTTGGAGTGGTAAGTAGGCCTTTGTGTTTCTCACACTGACAAAACACCCAAAATATTCATTGATTCATTTAGTCTGTGCATTGAAATGAAGGAATTGTCATCGTGTTTCTATTTGTACTATTTACTGTTACTGTCACTTGAGACTGTTTTACCTTGTGTTGTGTTAGATATTTTAGTTTTCGTCTCAGTGTTGGTACCGCGTGCTGGCCGGCGCCATGTGAAGTTGGCTTCCAGTAACCGTCCCTTGTGTTGTGAACAGGGGCTGACTGGTAAATGAAGTCTCTGTTACATAGAGGCTGACATTTTGGTTCTATCTACGGTGCTATGTGCAGGAGGCCAAATTCCCCCCCCCCCCCCCCGCCCCTAGGAAGGTGAAGTCATGACCTGCCCTACTCTGTCTCTGAATGGCTTGCACTTGTTGGTTGGGTTTAGGCATGAGGAGGGAGATTGGTTCGTCTAAGAACATCAGGGGTGGGGGGGGGGGGGGGGGGGGGTCATGCCTTCGCCATCCTAAAATTCAAAAAAGAAAAGAAAAAGATGTGCAGGAGTAATGGCACTTCTGATGTATTTCTAGTGCGTAAAAGTTTGTACTTCTATCAATAGCGCTGACCTAAAGCGTTGGTTTTGGAGCAGTTGAGTCCAGAGAGCGGGCTGTTGTGGGGTCAGACTGGAGTGCACACCAGAGCTCCTGTTGTAAATCGCCGTCATCTTGTCTCATACTTGTCCTCGCAAATGCCCTCATAATGTTTACTCGTCTGTACTTACTCGTTTAAGTTATGCAGCTCTAGCATGTTGTTTTTAAGTACACGTTTTATAAGAAGATATGTAAAGGTACTTCGTTTCATGGATCAGCTGACCTCTCATTAACATTTCCACCGATTTGATACATTACTTTGTTTCATGTAAAATAACACTGCTGTACGTTCCATATCTACAACAGGAGCCAATTTGGCATTATCAAAAAACAAAAAGCCAATTTCTGAGAATTCAAATGTTAGAATAGTGTTGCTCACATATGCATTTGTTTGCATTTTCATATTAATACTGTTTTGTCCTGCAGCTATTAGTGATCCATTTTAAAAGTAACTTATCTTTTTTAGAATTTTGTATCCATGTATCAAGAATAGAGTATTTTTGTAAAACTAAACGTTTTAGTTTATGCTCATAGCAAAGAATATCATTGCTGGTCTGTGGTCCTGAAATGAACCGCAGGTTTATTGTGATTATTATAAGTGTGTGACTGAAATCAAGCAGATATGTTGAAACTTAACTCTAAACTGGTTAAACATTGACTTTACCCAACCTGTATCCCATAATGCAATGGACTAGGTTTTTCTTTTATGTGTGTGTGGTTGTTTTTTTTTAAATGTCAAGCATCTCAAACGGCACTTTGACTCATTTATTGACTGTAGATCAGGTTCGAGCGCAGTAGTGATGTTTCCAAGCATTCCATTCCTCTTGGGGAGTTTAAGAGCACATGACAGTAATGCCTCTTAAAGCCATACCACCACAGAAAGCCAACCTGTGACTTCAGTTTCATGAATGTAAATGTTACCTCATGGTGTGGACATAGAGTTTGCTCTACATCTAACATCGGACCAATTACAGTTTTTTTTTTTTTTTTTTAGAGAACATATATTTTGAGGCAGAGAGGGTGGGGCGGATTGGCACCAACTGTCATTTGTATCACTGTACATTTGTCAGATTGTTTTTGGATTGTGGTGTAATTTCATGTTTGTTTTTTTCACGTCCAGTTGTTTCATTTTGAGCAGTTCCAGGATGCTCAGTCTGACTCTTCAAATAGCCACTTCCACCTGACAAAACATGTGAAACATTAATTTAAATGGTGGTGAAGATAGCACACAAATCGTTACAAAATATCAGTTTTGTCCTTTTAAGTCATGTAGATGAATATCCGTGTATATTTAAATGTGAAATATACTGCAGGGGTATCTTGAACTTCAATTGTGATGCTTTCAACAGAACTGTGTGTGCCTTGATAACTTAACTGTTACTCCGTTGTGTTTACCGGTGTCCCCTTTTTCGTGTCATTTGCCATTCGGCTCCTTGTCCTTTTTATTCACGAGGACTGTTGAACATCGAAACACCTTTCAGTGAATTATTATTTCTAAACAAGCAGAGTGTGTGTGTGTGTGTGTGTGTGTGTGTGTGTGTGTGTACTTTAATTTAACATTTTCTCTTTGGAAATCCATTCCAGGATATCAGAGTAAGTACTCTCAAGATAATACTGTGCAGCTTCCAGTGAATTGTCAACTTGTCTGTTACTTTCTGTTGAAAAAGGTTTTTCATGCCTCCTGAGATTTGTGTGTGGTAAAAGGGACGAGACCGCGGAGATTGTTTTTTTTTTGGGAGAGCTGATGTGCTTGTCAACATTACTATTGCTGTGAAACGCTTGATCAAAAAGGAGTAACCATGATAAATTAACTGTTAATTGCCAATAGTGTGAGCTGTAATCTCGTGTGTAATCAGTTTTGCTCACTTTTTCCTAGTTCGCTTTTTCTATTTCACATTCTCCAACAGTTCTGTTGTATCCGTTCTGTGTAGCTTGAGCTTCGGTATCTGGCCTTAAGACCCCGCGGTCGGGACGAAGGTCAACCCCAGTGTGTTATCATACATCTGAACTATTAACATGTACTTTGCCTTGGTCTGGACATTTGTATACTCTTCTGTTTATATCTGTAATCCTGCTGCTACATTAAATGAATTAATAAAAATGTAAACGTCTTGACTCGCTCCTTTAATCGTCCCGCTTTGATTTAGATGCACGAGTTATAAAACAAGCTCTGACAGGTTTTTATATTAATCTTTTTCAGCAAATAATGCATTCAAGTAAAGTTACATATTGCACTCTTATCCTCACAATTAATGCTGTAAATGTTGACAAAATGCATTAGAGACATTAGGAAACCAGCTGGTCATAGTTTACTAATTTTTCTATGTAGAATCTGTTGGAAGAAGGATAACGGATCCTTGGGGTCAAAACCAACATCAAACTCAGGCGTCCTGAGAGCAAGGGCAGCGACCAGGATGGCGAAGATGGCAGTGAGGCCCCAGATGTGATACTGGCTTCCTGAGTCGGGGTCCACAAAATAAAAGGAGTGTAGCAACCCCATCATCCCAGCAGCACCGTGGGTGGCGTAGTGATCCTTGTCACTGGTGAAGAAGTCCAGAGGGACTGTGAACACGGCGCTGACCTCAGCCGGGTTTGGACTGGGACAAAATGACTCATCGATGAAGCCAACCACCGGGGTCACCAGCAGACCACTCTGTTAGGAGATGAAGGTGGGAGGGGGTAAAGAGGTGGACCCAAAGCAGCTGATGCCATGAAAGGGAAGAACCATGTACTGTCCTACCTTATTGATGATGGGGACCAGCCTACAGACCACCTGAACATCAGCAGGCGGTAGACCTATCTCCTCCTCGGCCTCTCTCAGAGCGGTGTCCACGTCGTCTCTGTCTCCGGGGTCTCTCTTCCCTCCAGGGAAACACACCTCTCCAGCGCTGGTCCGCAGCTGCGCACACACACGTCAGTCAAGAGTGGAGTTACATTAAAGAGACGGCTTAGTCCACCCATGGATGACATCCACTCCTCACCTCCATTGAACGCAGGGTCATCAGGGTGCACAGCTCTCCGTTCTTCACCATCAGCGGGATGAGCACCGAGGCTTTGTGCAGCACCGGAAGAGACGCGAGCTGGTTTCCGATGTCAAACTGCTTTAAAATGGCTATCGTCTTCTCTTTAATGTGCATGGTAGAAACGGAAAGGTGGAGGACAGCAACAATAAAATACTTAAACTTGATATACACTAGGAGTCCAAACTGGAAGCAAACTTATGTCGTCACTTACAGCACGAAACCGTAGCACACGTTAACGCTACACAACTAGGACAACAGTGTCAAAGGCTATTCCCATGAGTTCCTGTAGTATTAACGTTAAGCTAACCCGTTCACCATTTATACGACGGCTAGCACAACCTTTAACGACAGAGACGGCTCAGAAATATCTTACAGCATCTTTGCCCACAATTTAGGAAACCTCCACGAGACGGTTAAAGTTAAGCATTAACCTCGAGTGGTTCGGTTTAGGATCGTAAGACAGGACGGGCAGCGTGGCTTGCAAGAGTTTATTGCTTACAATCTAGACCATAACGGACACGACCACAACAAACCCATAAAAATGACGTCATTGTATGCGACGACTTGTCTTGATAGCCACAATTAGCCGGTTAGCCGCCAGGACACCGTAGATGTGCAATTACACTTTCGCTTCTCATAAATAAGAATGAACGTGTCATGAAATGAGAACGCAAAGAGAATCACGTGGATAAAAACGGGATTCAGAGATTGGACGATATTTATATTGCTGTATACAGGTCCTCGATGGAAACGTCAGATGTGAAATAAAACATACAGTACATTCCAAGTCAGTCATTCTATGGCATGATGCTACATCCATGGCATAATGAGGAGATGAAACAAACAAACTGAAGGCTCCTTAAATATCACTGAACAAAGTGCGATTCAAACAAATGACGTTCTTCTTTCTATCTCCAACATACAACTGAAATTTACAGGTAAAGTATACACAAAAGTGATTAAATCATTTCAAGTTCAACAACCAAAATATTCACAATACATAACTGATCCCATGTATTCAATGGAGGAGAAATTAAGTTATTTACAACCCACATTTCGTGGGTTTTAATGTAGAAAATTAAATAAGATTCAAAACACAGCACAGTTGATGAGGGGCATCACAGTGGTCCTAGTCCCGATTCCAGTCGTCGCCCCGGCAGCACTTGATCCGCTCATACTTTGTACTTCTCCTTGGCTTGATCATTCAGTATACAGATGTGCTGTGAAACAAAAGTAAACAAGAGGATTGTGAAGTCATGTTTAGTGAATTTCCATTTCTATGTTCTGCTTTAATACATGTTGTACAGCTAGTCCATTGCTGTAGCTTCCATTAGACCAGGGTCATGTGCTCTGTATTGTTTTTGGAAATGTCACCCTTTGAAAAAACCTGAGGAGGTTTTTACATTCTACAATTAACCACAAAATAGACACGATGGATTTTAAAAGACAGGTTTTAATTTATCGTGTTTAAACCTTTGTAAGAAAAAAATGGTATTACATCTGAAAGAGGTTAGGAAAAGCTACAGAATCGATGCTTTATTCTTTCATCTTCTGTTATTCTGTTAATGCACATTATTCTTTCATAATGCAAAAAGTAAATGAAGGAGCTATTCACAGTTGCAAAATATTTAAATAACTGCAGATAGTGGTGGAACAGGTTTGAGGAGGGTTTAAGGTTTAAAAAATTAGCGTTAAATATTTAGGAATACAATCTTCTTTTTCTTTGTGTAAGCAGTGGCATTTCAAGGGCCCAGTTTGATTGATATACATCATGCATGTTGTGTTTGCCAACTGCAGAATCAGTACACAACTAAAACGTAGCATGGAATTGAAACACAGCTATTGTATCACAAGGTGTCTCATCATCACCTGAAGTGATCACATGCAGCAAACTTACACTGAGATCTCTGAAGTACTCGTTGTAGTCCAAAGCGTAGCCCACCAGAAAGGCATCTGGCACCTCAAAACCAATGTCTGAAATAGATAGATAGATAGATACCATCACCGTGAGTCATATAAAGAAAACAAACAGTGCAGCGGAAGAAAAACTCAGGCCGATCTAAAATGAGATGTGGAAACATTTAGCGTTATTAGAAGCTCTGTGAGCAAATAGATGTTGCTAATTTACCGCCTGTGTGACGTTGTACTTAAGCCGTCAGTGCCGTGTAGTGGGAAGTCAAAACGCTTACAGTAACAGTTGCCCGTCAGGGACAATCTTAAAGAGATTATCCAACTCAGACCTAAACGCCTTACATAATCAGAGACAGTGTGAGCAGGGGGTTATCGGGCATGCGTTACTGCATAAGTGCCATGCTCGGCTACATTTGGAGGACATTTTCCTGAAATAACTGTTAATCCCGCATGGAAAACAGCTTTAAATATCGCTTCAGCAGCCCTTCAAAGAACCGGGCCCACATGTGAGTGACTAGCATGAAATGAGCCCTCTCATGTGCATTTCACAGAGACAACATGTCTTCGTGTGAGCTGAGGAAACAGGCACTCACAGTCTGGTCTGTACCCCGAGCTCCTCGGGGTCCGCTTCACCAGGAGGCTGGAATGACAAACCAAAACGCAGCGTGTATAAGAAACAAAAGCCCTCCAAGAGAAATTAACACGCCAAAGAGAACGCGCAGTTGTCACCTAAACATTTTCAGTGCAGGTGTTAATACCGACAGATGGCACAGATTGATCTCGGCACACCTTAAGAGCACCGTGGCCAAACAAATGTTCACGGTTCAGGATCGAGCTCTCTGTGCGGAGCCTATTCAACATGCATGGATGCAATGTTAGAACAGGCCAAGTGGTGGTCGTCTGTCTTTATGCGTTAGTGTATATAAAGATATATATTAAAGTGTATCTTTATGTACAGTACAGTCGGATTTTCACTCTACGGGAAAAATGGTTCTGAAAGAAAACAGTTAATAAAAGAAAGCTTACAAATGTCTCTGGTCAGCGGGGACTTTGAGTTCTTCAAACGTAATCCGTAAATGAAATACTGTTCAGCTCTGTTGAATTGGGGCGGCAGCAGAAATGTCAGCGGTAGATATCGCTAACCCTCAGCTGGAAGAGGAACTATCTGCATTTCTAAGAGGGAAATGTTTGAATTGGGTAAACTGCCCCTTTAAGAATTGTTATTCCCAATAGAGGCTTGGCAAGAGACACATTGGCTATAAATACAGGGACAGCATCAAAGCAAAAGAAATAACTGCCGTCATATACAGTAGATTAATGGAAAACCACCGTCTCTTATGAAAGCGTCAGAGGAAGCCCACATTGCGTCGATAAATTTCCTGTTTGGAAACCAGCTATCAGGAATAGATAAGAGAAATGGCCTCTTACGCCACAGTGCAGTTAAATTAGTGCAGCAGATTAACTCTTAAGCTGCTCCCTCCCTCTGTCACAATACATCTCTAATGCAGTCCTAAATGAGAGCGTCCATTAGCTAAGAGCACTCTCTCTGCAGACATAGCAGCCAGTTACAGTGGAGGTCTATTGTTCGGCCTCCCGGACTATGAACTGTGACCGACGGCGCCTACCTCACAACTTTAACCATCTTGGGATTGCATTCACTCAGCAGGGACAGGAGCGTCTGCATCGTCCTTCCCGTCTCTACAATATCCTTTTTATAATGCACGACACATCAGAGTGGAGGCATAAACACAAAGAAGCATTACTTAAAACATGACATTAATACAACTCGTGTGCAACAGACCGTGGCGTTTTATCTCAAACGATGTCGGAGATTTCATTTGTAAAAGACGAACAAATGCACTTGGAATGTAAATCATTACAAAGTTTGCGAAACATGACAATGTATATCGTTAGATGATTTGAATGTGTGGCAACATGGGATTGAAATGTAATTGACAATATAAATGTACATCTACGTATTGTATCCATATCACTTAAACATAATACAGCATAAAGAAGAAACCACTTACCTCGACGATCAAAACATTCTGCAGAAAAACAAAAGGAAAGGACAGCTGATGAAGTGAACAAGCTTACAGGAATGTGTGGTTGAAGTGTTTCTGCCCGACACACTCCGGTGGACTAACCTTGCCGGAGAGACTGGACAGCTCGTCCCCTCCTATGACTTTGACACTGTTTGTTGACTCGTCATTCTAGGGGAAATAAAGAGGAGATTATCCATCTCAGTGTTTATTACTAATTCAGTTAGATTAACCTCACCACAAACCTAAACCACAGGTTTAAACATCTGTACATCTGTCATCCAGAATCTCCACTCTTTGAACACTGCGGCGGCCCATTTAAGACTGTTCTCATTGTTGACCACACAATCACACACACCTCACATTGGCACAAGTGGTTCCTGGCAATGAAATGAGAAAAGGCAGCTTACACAGTAGCTCTTCACCCTAATGAAATCCACCGTCAGGGGGACTGATTTATCACTGTTCTGGTTCAGCGCTGTAATGTAGTCCAGGAGGTCTGCGAAGAACTTGTAGCCTCCTTTCAGCACACACAGAGCGACGATGTGGTGGCCCCCCATGTCCTGGATTATGTCGCGGGCCAGCCGCTCTGTCCTGGATCAGAGAGCGAAAGTTAAAATGTGTTCAATGGTGGATGTAGTTCGGACAGGGAACTACATCCACAGTGACAGGGAGGATTTGCTTTACACGATAGGGTAATTGCTTACAATGCATTCCACAGCACTGCACTGGACATTAAACCCACGCCTCCCAAATCCACATTCAAATTCACTTCAGGATGTGGTCTACAGTGATTTGACAAACAAATACAGTGCACTGCTGTAGCAGCACAAACCAGTGTGTGTGTGTGTGTATAGGAGACAGATGACTGGACAGAAATAAGAGTCATTTTCAACGTTTGGTGCGGGTTGATCTTACCTGTCCATGATGAGTCCATGCGGGATGATCACCTTCTCCAAATCGTTCTCATAATGTCTGGGCACACAGAAAAGGTCCAGCTCATAGCCTTTCTCGTCATCAGCGATCTGGAACAAGAAGAAGAAGCCATATTCAACTCGGCGCAAAACGGCTGTTGGCACTGACTGACAACGTGCGCCAAAGACGCATTTAAATCACAGTGAAGCAATTCCTCGCGTCCCTCGCAACCACCTGTTTAACCCCCCCGCGCGCACACACACACACACGCCAAACGCTCACGTGGTGGAGCACATTTGAAACACGCAATTATAGATTGGAAAGCTGAAACTCGTAACGCACCACCTGCAGTCAATCAAAGCAGGCCTCCGGCGCGCGGAGCTCTACCACACCCTGACAAGTTATCAAATTCCCAAAACAAATTGTCGAACAAGCTACTAGCAGAGTAGTTTACCGGCAGATACGAGGCCATGTTGCCGCCCGTCCTGTTCAGTCGCAGCGGTGTGTGTGAGAAGTCATGCTCCGGTCCTGAGAGAGAGAGAGAGAGAGAGAGGGAGAGAGAGGGCTTGTTGACTGAAGGTGGCACGAGCTGCTCTCCTCTGCGCCGACTGCTGCTGCTTCTGCTGCTGGCCACGAGCGTGCGCGAGCAGCACACGCGATGCTTATGCCGGGGTTTAAACCCTTTGCGTCAGAATCCAGTTTACCGCCTCAATAATCTGATTTGCCCGACACGACCTGATCTATCCTGAAATGCGCTATACTGGTAACTACTACTAGTCTGCACACTGCGGTTTTTTTTCTTTCGGGGGGGGGGGGGGTACTGTAGCAGCGATGTAGGCTCCCTCGAGCCGTTTGGAGAAGCTGCACATGACGCAGTTTTAAAAATATAACGGATGACAGTCCCGCCTGCCCTCACTAAAGAGCACCGCACTGCTCCCTGTGTGTGGTTGTATTGTATCTGTGCTCTGCATTGTGTTCATAGGAGAACTGGACGTTTCTATACACGTTTAAAGCACAAATACGTCAAGATACCCACTATTACATCACATGCAATTTAACTACATTTGGTGTTATATCAATTTAACCCATTTTAATTTACTTTTATGATGGTCTCCTATGTAATGTGTGCAAGCCGTTTATTTCTATTGAGCTGCTTTTAATCACATCACATGATCCTCATCAGCAGATGTGGTCTGCCCAGTTGTTAAATTTATTTTAAGGGGTTATTAAACCTCTTTAAGACTTGTGGTCAGTGATAACTTCAAGCACAACTTGCTTTTGCAATCCCGTCATAAAATGTCATGCCGATAAAGCACTTGCAAATTTGGGTTTATTCTAACTGGTTCTTCTCTCGTATGAAGTGGTATTGCCATTTTTTAGTATTCCGTTACTTAGTTTCGCTTGTATGGTATCAATACATGGTAATTGTGTTGATTAGAGCTGTATCACTTTTAATATAATCTGTCCACAGCAGGTTCTCAGTTACATAACTCATCCTTATTTCCCTTGCAGTCTATAATTTGGCATTCTGAGCATTACTGAGTTTATACTGCCCTATGGGGAATATTCTCTCTCTCTCACACACACACACACACACACACACACACACACACACACACACACAC